TGGCCCATTAGAGAATTGTTTAGAGATGTCTCACACATGAGCAGCCTGTGAAACATCAAAACTGACTAGAACTCACTGGAGTTACATGGTAGGCTAAATACAGAATTAATTTATCTTTTAACTTACTACTACTATTTTTATTATTTACATATGTAGTCATAAATCTTGGTAAACAGTTATTTTTAACATTTATTTATTATGCAAATACAATGTGCGAGCATCACAACATACTTTTAATTTCATATTTGTAATATTTCTTCATTGCGGAAATTTTCGTGAGTCAGGTCAGTTTAGATTAAAAGGTGCAACTGCCTGTGAAGATGACGCATTAATGGCCGGGTGAGGTGTCATTTTTACCCCGAGTTTTGTCTTGTGGGTAAAAATACATCACACTCAGAACTAGACCAAAAACTAATACAATCAGAATGATCGTGTAGCGTTTAAATTTTTTAATACTATTGCAGTTATTTTTATTGTTATTGTTGTCAAAAATACCCAAAGTGGAAAAACATGCTGATCTCTGGTGTTGATAAAAAAAATCAAAAGTTAGTATGTTGACAAAATTATATTTTGTCTCTTTAAAGAAAGATTTTTAGTTGCTTTGAAACAATGTAGTGAATTTAAGTTAATATAAATTATTAATTCATTGAACCTGTTACATATCTAAAAAAAGAGGGGGGGGGGGGTCCCAAATAAACAAACATGACTTAGAACATTTAATGATAGGCAGAAGTGTTAAGCATACATATTAAAAAAAATTCCCTTCTCACCCTCCACGGGTGGTCTCTTTCATCCTCTGAGCTCGGGTCCTCTACCAGAGGCCTGGGAGCTTGAGGGTTCTGCGCAGTATCTTGGCTGTGCCTAGAACTGCACATTTCTGGACTGAGATGTCTGATGTTGTTCCTGGGATCTGTTTGAGCCACTGCTCCAGTTTGGGGGTGACTGCCCCGAGGGCCCCGATGAACACAGGCACCACTGTGGTCTTCACCTTCCAGGTCTTCTCCAGTTCCTCTCTGAGGCCCTGGTATTTCTCCAGTTTCTCATGCTCCTTTTTCCTTTTGTATATATATATATATACA